CCGGCTACACAGAGCTATAGCACTCTGCTGCATTGAGTACCTGCCAGACAGGAGTTGTCAATGTAAAGTTGGCCCTCTGACCAGACCTGCCCCCAAGTGGCTTTCCCCATCACTCATCTCCCTGGGAATGCCAGCACTGGATGGCAGGATGGCTGGGCCCCCAGGCCTCCCCCTGCAGACCTCACTCAGAACCTTGGGAGGGGCACACGGAAGGCCCCGCTCCTGGGAACATGCTTCACCATGCTCCCAACCAAAACTCCAGGGAAACCTCTCCCCCAAGTGGAATTTCCAACCAACTCCTTTCCAAGAAAGAAGCCCTAGGGCTGAAGTTTCCTTAGCACCAACCTATCCCTTCCTTCTTGATTGGCCTCACCCAGACCTCTGCAATGTTCTGTGGTCACTCAGTTAACCCCTTGCCCGGCATTGGAAAGGGGCTTCTCAGGGGAAAGGAACTTTGGCTCTGACCAAAGGGGCTGCTGGCCCCACCGCTCTCACGGCTCTCACCCTCCTCTCACCACTCAGCCCCCAGGTCGCAGGCACCAGGGTGGGCATCTCTGACCAGCACACCCTCACACCCACACACCCACACCTGCACCATGAGAACACTGTCACCTCCGCAGCCCTCCCAGCTGGGAAAGGCCTGCCTACAGCACGGGGGTCTGGGCCTGGAGATGCCTGAGGGTCCTATATGCCCTCCTCCACTCCGGACCTCAGAGTGCCTACGCCTGGGAGTCCTGCGGGCCTGGGGTGGGTGCAGCAGCAGTGAGCAATCTAATGGCTTTTCCACAAAACACAGTTTTCTTTTCTTCTTGGCCAGAAAGCTGGTTTTTCAAACCAGTGGGGGGAAAGGTCAGGTCTTAGGATGGCCCCTTCAGAAACAGAGTCGGCTTGCAGAGGGTTGCAGGGACTGGCGGCAGACACTCAGCGAGCCGGGAGCACTGACCCTCAGCCCCTTCTGCCTGCAGACAAGCGTCTCTGGTTTGGGCAGCAGGAAGGTGAAGGCCACACCCTAGAGCAGGGCCAAGCCCCCTAGGAAACTCATGCTGGGGGAGGGGGAGAAGACAGGTGGACAAAAAGCCCAAGGCCAATCTTCACTGAAATCTCCTGTCCTGGTCAGGAGGCACTGACAACACCCACATCTTTCTGAGACCAGCACCTGCCTGCCAGGCCTCCCCACTCCCCTCCCTCAGGAGAGACAGGGTGCACTCATGACCCAGCCGGGCAGCCTGGCTCACCACCAGCTACACAGCAGGCCAGGGTGGCAGGAATAGCACCCACACTGAAGCAAATGTCTCTCTCTCTCTCTCTCTCTCTCTCTCTCTCTCTCTCTCTCACACACACACACACACACACACACACACACACACACACACACACACGTCACCAGCTCCCTCCTGGAGCACCTGCTCTGGACAGCACACTTGCAAACACCCTCTTTTCCTCACCTCCACTCCCAGAATGCTCTCTCTACACCCACTTCCCAGGCAGCTGAGATGCCACATAGCATAAAAGGAGGTGAGGGCTGGGAATTCTGGGTGGGAATGAGGCTGCCTAGGGTCCCGGTTACCAGGCAGCCCCTCCTGCCTGTCCTTGGGGCAAGGCGCTTACAGGATGAGTAGTGGTCTTTGTTCAGATCTCGTTTTTTCATCACGGCTCTCCCCTCCATCATCCAAGGAAGCAAACTTTGGCCTCCTTCCCTTTCTTCCCACCAGCTAGCTACAGGGTCCCTGGCCCCCAGGGTGAGGAAGGTAAAGCAATGAGAGGGCTCCCAGCCCGCCACCCCTACCTCCCCACCTGGCTGGGCTTGGGCAGCAGGGAGGGCAAAGGGTGGGGAGAAACTTGAAAAGTCTTCCAGGGAGAGAGCTGTGGGAAGGGGTTCAGGGTGTTGGAAACGGGGTGCATTGTCCAGAGGTTGACTGGCAGGTGGGGGATGGCTGCCAGCGCCCCCCACCCAAAAAAGTCCAGCCAGGAGCTCCTGGAGAAACCCATGGGCTCCCCCACAATCCATTCTGGGGGCCTGGAAAGGGGGGAGCCTGGGTTTTTCTCCCCATATTGTGCCTTTCTCCTCCCTCCTCTCTTCCAGATCAAGAGTTGGGGTGGGGAGGGGCGGTTATGTGTGTTTTTTTTTCTTAAGTTGCCGCAATTTGAACCCATTATTTTGAGGGAAATGAGTACATCATTGTGTGAGTGAGGAGAGAGAGAGAGAGAGAGAGAGAGAGAGAGAGAGAGAGAAAGAACACGAACGCGCGGGGATGGCTTGGGTGTTCTAAGTCTCCTTAATTGAGGCCCCCTGGTTCCCGCGGACCCGCTGCCCCCGCTGCTCGCAGGTACTCACCTAGAAAGAAGAAGAGGCAGAAGGCGTTTGCCAAGATCATGTTAAATAAATCCCACAGTTTTGTGTTTTTGTCTTTCTCCCTTGGGTTAAAAGAAAAAAAATGACAATAATATAGCCAAGCAGTGAAAATCAGCCCCAAATCCAATGCGGAGATCCCAGCGAGTCCGCCCGATGGAGATCCTGAGTCCTGCGATTCTCGCCCCTGGCCGGAGGGGGTGGGGAAGAAGGCGGCGGGCCCGCTCGACGCCCCTCGCCCACTGGAATGAAACGCACAGGTGTGTCTGTGGGTGCTGCTCCCCGCCGACAGCGGTCCTGCGCTCTGCCGTCCCT